TTTATGATAGAAGTTTTATATATACATACATACATATACATATACATATACATATACATATAATTTGTTATTTTGAATTTTTTTGCATGTTTCAGTGAGAATAGTTAAATTTCTCATTGTTCAACCCCATCACCACCTCTTTGCAATATTTCCCATCATCCTTAACAGAAATCAGTCTTCCTTAAGCAATGAACTCCTATTTCACCCCCTTCTCCTTTCTAGTAACTCTAGCAAATTTCCTTTTGCTAGATAATAAACAACTATTAAAATTAAGGATTAAATAAAAACAATTTGTTATTACTGTTTACAGCTCTGTGGGTATGTTTAATGATACTAAGCCAGGTTCCTCATTTGAACATATGGTAAAAAGTGGCCTGGTGTGGAATCCTCTTAAGACGCAAGTATGGAAATCCATTATGACTTCTGTGCTTACAATCTTGGGGCTTTGGTGCTCTCTTCATATAATTGTTATGAATTCCTTACATGGTGTTTTAGGTTTTAAAGAGGTAGAAAGCAGAACCTATGAGGCCAAACTACCCAGAATTGGCACAACATTATAATCACAGTATCAAATTTCTCAAAAGAGTCAAAAGATATCCTAAATTCAAAGGAACTGGAACTCTATTGTGCTCCCTAATAATAATAGTGTATAAGCAGATGTAGCTCAGAAACTATTTCTGTGACTATCTTTAAATATACCATAGTCTCTCTTAGCCACTTTGAACTCATATTGAAAGGTCCAGTACAGTATTGCTTCAGAATTTCATGACCTAAATAATACCCAGGTATAGATGAACTCATTGGGTATAATCACATATTTTTTCCCTATAATTCTTCTTTCTATGAACATTTGTTAGCAATAGATGCATTATTTTATACTGCAAACAAACAATGATTATATAATACAGTTACTGGGTGGGTGAAACCTATAACTCTAGGAGAAAGAAAAAGTTGGAATATAGTAGTCATTGGTCCACACCACTCTGAAATCTAGGTAGATACATGTTAGCTTCAGGATTAGACAGTACCCTAAGCCATAGGCCACTTCTGTTTCTCTGTGATTCTTTGCTTTAATCTATAGTGCTCTTGACTCTACTCTGAGTCATCCTTCATTATCTAAAGAAGTGGTCAAAATATTTGATTCATCTTCTCAGTCTAGAGAAAGTCAATCAATGGCACTAAGGATCAATGAAGCTATACACTAGATGATTTACATATTAACACATTTCTCCACTTAAAACTGAATTTTATATTTTGATAATTGATGAAGGTGAAAATGAGTCTTTTTTTATTAATTGAGTGTTAAAGGAAGTCATATATTTATAAAATCAACTATAGAAATTAATCTGTGAATTCTTAGTGCAAAGTGAAATACTTATATTGCATCAATGAACTGGCCAAATGATTTAACAATTAATTTATCATTTTAACATCAGGGTTATGTTGGTATTCAACAATCTCCCATTTTATTTTTTCAGGAAATTTCCATCTCTCTTCAATTTATACAAAACTTTTATAGATTTTCTAGTTGAAGAGAATAGGTAGAGATATATCATCTCTCTGAAGCAAAAGTAACTTGGCATTTGGATGTTTAAATCTCTTTACATGCACAAAAATGCTGATTCTAGTTCCTATTTTACAAACATGAACTAAAATTAAGGTAAGTTAGCATTTTATCTCCTGAAGTCAAATAAACTATTCAAAACTGCTAATTGTCAATATTTACTCTAAAACCTACATTAATATTTCTAACTTACCATGCCCTAAATTACATTAAATCACATACTCCTACTTCTAACTTACCCTACCTTTATTTACATTAAATCGCATTTCCCGAATGTCCTGATATCATTTCTGTACTATAATTACATTCCTTTTCAAATCAAGAAGTATGTTTTATAAAACGTTGTGCATTCAAAGCATGAACTACTCTTAGTAATGTGAAAAGACAGAATATGTAAAATAATGATGGTGTTATTGTTGTTAGGTGCCATTGAATTGAGTATGACTTATAGCGACCCACTATGAACAGGCAGATATGAACTCGATCCTATCTTGTGCTATCTTCACACTTCCTGAAACACAAGAGCCCATTGCAGCCATCACTTTATCAATCCAGCTGGTTGAGGTTCTTTCCTTCTCTGACCCTACACTGTTCCTCATTCCATGTCATTTTCTAAGGAATAACCTCTCCTAGCAACATGTGCAAAGTATGCGTGGTGAAGCCTCATCATTCCTGCTTCCAAAGAATACTCTCGCTACATTCTCTCCAAGACATAGCTGTTTGTTGTCTTGACTGTCTATGGGACATTCAATGTTCTCCAACACCACAACTCAAAGGCATCAAGTCTTCCTCTGTCATTCCTATTCATTGTCCAGCTCTCAGATTCCTAACAAGTGATCAGGAAGAAAGATGGCCTAAGTCAGACACATTTTAGTCCTCAAATTGACATCATTACTCCTCAGTAATTTGGAGAGGTCCCTCACTGCAGGTTTCCCCAATGCAAGTCATCTCCTTGTTTCTTGACTGCTGGTACCAAGGATGTTAACTGTGGCTCCAGGTAAGATGAAGCTGTTGACAATTTCAAACTCTTCTCCATCCACCATGGTGTTGCCTATCAGTCCAGTGGTAATTATAGGCAGACAAAACCAGAAAAGATGAAAAAGAAAAATCAAGAATAGAAGGAAGAAACAAATAGGAGAATGGAAAATTTATGAATTACATATATAATTTGCATCCAACTATATTGCTTATTTGGAATGTTCTTGTTTTGAGAACCTAAAACCTTTATAAAAGATCAGTATGGGGAAATTCAGACATATGGTCAGACATTCACACATAGTCCAAAGAATCACCATTTTAAACAAGTGAATATATATATATATATATATTTTCTCTATGACATATTAAATGCTGAATCAGTGGTGGGTGCAGACTTTAGAATAAAGATCTGAGTTACCCTCCTTCGTATCTCCTTGGTCTTTACCCCATAAACAATGGGATTAAGTGCAGGGGGCACAAGCAGATAGATGGTAGACAATAGAATGTGGACATAAGGTGATACATGACCAAAACGGTGGCTAAAGAAGGAGAAAAAAGCAAGTATGTAAAATTCAAGAAATACAACAATATGGGCAGTACAAGTATTGAATGCTTTGAGTCTGGCTTCCTTCTGGGGAAGACGAAAAACAGCTTGGAATATCAAGATGTAAGAGATGAAGACGAACATCATGTCAAAACCCAGAATTGCAAATGCCACAAAAAGCCCATATGTTTTGTTAACATGGACATCTTCTGCAGCTAGTTTGACCACAGCCATATGTTCACAATAAGAATGAACAATAACTACAGAATGGAAAAGTTGCAGTCTTTTCAGTAAAATGGGCAAAATTCCAACAAGCACTGTTGCTCGGATTGCCACCACTACTACCATCTTAACCAGAACTAAAGGTGTAAGGATGGATGTGTGCCTCAGTGGATCACAGATAGCAACATAGCGGTCAAAGGCCATTGTTAGTAGGATGCCAGATTCCATGCCTTGCAAAGCATGGATGAAAAAGAGCTGAGTGAGGCAAGCATCAAAGGTCATGGAGCAAGAATCAAACCAGAAGATGGCCAACATCTTTGGTGCAATGGCTAAACAGAGCCCTAAATCCGTGGCTGCCAGTACTGCTAAGAAGATGTACATGGGTTGATGTAGGCTGCGTTCTAGAGGGATTATAATCAGTAAGAAAATATTTCCCATCAGAGCCAACAAGCACACACCAAAGAAAGGGAATCCAATCCAAAATTGCACATGCTCTAATCCAGGAATGCCAATGAGGGTCACTGTCTTGGGGTTCAGGTATGACAGGTTGCTGAATCCCATGGAGACTGGTAACTACGTTGCTCACCACTGACTCTGATACCTAGTCAGAAAGAGAAATGAATGGGAAAGGAGGACAAACCCCAGATTATTTTATGAACATTTAATTTATTAAATGTAAATATGGCCATGTGACCTTGAGTAGTTAGACATTATCTTAGGGAAGTATGGAAATAGTTTCTTAGATTATTCCAAAGCCAATTCAACTAATTGTGGGGAAAAAATGGTTATGTGTTTATCACCTACAAATTATAGAAATGGAAATTTTTATTTCAAGAGTACTGAATCTGCTAGTATTCCAAGTGTCCTCAACAGCTGTCACAGATGGCAGCATTAACTTAAATGTTAATATCAATATTCTTATACGAGATCCATTGCAGACTAAATAGGATTCTTCTCTGGCACATGACTCAATGGCAGAGATATTGGAATTCCTGCTAAAACAAACCAAACTCTCTGCTATGCAGTCAGCTTTTATGAAAAAGAAAAATCGCATCATAGAATTTCCAGGGCTTAAATTTTTAGAAGCACTCTGTCAAAAATCCTGCAAAAAGACTGAATGGTTTGAACTGCAGACCTATCAGTTAGCAGATGAATACTTTTAATCACTGATCATTTATTCATGTCTTCAAAGTTCTGTCTCCTGTAACATTTGTAATTGCAACATCTATTCTTTCCTTGTATCTGCACATTTTCTTTAAAAAAATTATGCCAGATTTATGTGTTACCGTCAAACACTCTGAACTACTACTGATAAAAGACTAGCCTCTCTGTATTGGCTCTGACTCTGAATAATTGATCTGTTGGTAGGTAATCTAGCTCATAATTATTTCTCCATACTTTTCTGAGAGTTTCCTACAAGTGCAGTGATGAGTAAAATTCAGAAGTAATATTTCTGACTTCAAAGTATATGGAAAGACTGAGAAAGTTGTCATTATCTGAAGATTTGAGCTTTGAATTTATTGTGTTGGATGTTGTTGTTATGTGTCATCGAGTCATTTGGGCCTCATAGCCACCCTATGTACATTGGTTTTGAAATCTGTTCTATCTGAGCCAATCTCATTGTCTCCAACAGACCTAATCTCATTTGTCCAGTCAATGAGTCAATCCATTTCATTCTGGGTCTTCCTCTCCTATACTGTCCCTCCACCATTCCAAGCATGACATCCCACTCCAATGACTGGTCCCTCTTGGCCATGTGTCACCCAAAGTATGGAGCCTCAAAATTCTTGCCTCCAGGGAGCAGCCTGGTTTCACCCTCTCCAAGATAGACCTGTTAGTTCTACGGGCAGTTCACAGTATGTTCAACACTCTGCTCCAGCATTAAAACTCAAAGGCATCAATCCTTCTTCTATTATCTTTAGTCATTGTCCAGCTATCAAATGCATGGCAAGTAACTGTGAAGACCATGGCTTGGATCAGGCACACCATAGTCTCCAGACTGATATTGTTGCTCTTCAATATTCTAGAGAGGTCTCTGACAGCAGATTTTCTCAATGTAATTTGTTTTTGTTTGATTGTTGTTGTTTTTTTAATTTCCTGACTGCTGGTGGCAAGAATGTTGATTGTAGAGTCAAGCAAGCTGAAGTTATTAACAATCCCAATCCCTTCTCCATCCATCATGTAGCTGCTAATTGGCCCAGTGGTGAGAATATTTTGTTTTCTTGATATTGAGCTTCAATACATATTGAAAATTACAGTCCTTGACCTTCTGTAGCAAATGCTTCATGTTCTTTTCAGTTTCAGGAAACAATGTCATCCGCATAATGCAGGTTGTTGATGAGTTTTCCTCCAATCCTGATGCCACATTCCCCCTCATAAAGTCCAGCCTCACAAATGATCTGTTTTGCATGTACATTGGAAAGTTATGGAGACAGGATGCATCCCTGATGTACATCTTTCCTGATTCTGAACAGTTAGGAACTGTGTAGGATTGGGGCACCCAATATCTCTATTATTCTCCTCTGTCCTATTTTTTGTCTTGAATTACACAAGCTAAAAATGATGTAAAGTCTTACACAACTTCTTTTCCTATTTTTTCCTTGGGATTTTCACCCAGGAAGACATACTAACTGGGTAAACAGCACTACAAATTAAAGTTTGCCTAGTCCCCTCCTTTTTTGAATGGAAACTACAACTATCTACATCCTTTCAGATACAGAAAAATAGACTGAACAGTACTTACTAGAAGTATATTTTCAAATATAACTAGATAGCCTTTAATGTGGTAAAATTTAAAATGTTTTTACTATTTGGTTTATACAGGAAATTGTGTTATATGGGTTTCTACATCCAAAAACAGAGTGAACATAGTGAAAATAATGAAGACATATTGATTGAAGAAATAGATAATTTTGGGAAAAAAATGAAGTATAAACTTTACATGAAGTAAGTATTGAGTTATATTCACGTGGTTACAGATAAAAAGAAACATGTCGTAAAAGCTGTAAAAGCTGACAAAGTCAGAATATAATGCAGATGCAACAATTAATATCTTATAAATAAATTTAAATGTTGTCTGTATGTGTAAGAATAAGTAGAATCATTAGCTCCAATTTCTCCATGGCATGTAATAATTTAGAAATCATATTTATCATATGTGCATATGGGAAGTCTCCTCTCATGCAATTAACTGCCTCTGAAAACCTACTGGAGGGGGTCAGCTTCATGTCAGTTCTGACTTTATAGTACACAACATTGGTATGCATGTATATATACATTTCTTTCCGTAAATATCTTCATCCTTGGACACTTAATAGATGATCACCATGAATCATATTCAGTCTGATGGCAATGAGTTTTTTGTTTGGTTATATAGCATGTTAGATAAAATCCTGGAATTTGGTTTTGGAAATAGAGCATGTACTTTAGATGAAACTCTAACATTTGTTTCACATGAACTGTAGTCCAAGTTCTTTAAATGTACTCAGTTATAAATTGAAGAAAGTAATTGATTATTGAGGACAAATAACTTTAAGAATCCAAACTCAAACCAAACTACTATTGAGTCAGAGATTACTTATAGCAAGTTTTTAGTTGGATTTCAGAGACTGTATACTGCACCCTTTATATATGAAAGACTTCCCAAAAGTATAAATTATAGTGAACATCTGAGATATATATATATAGAGAGAGATCAATATTGATATCTATATATAGAGAGATATTTATCTATATCTATCTCTATAGATATGTGTGTTTGCCTATATATATAGAGAGAGAGAGAGAGAGAGAGAGAGTAGTTGACAGTTACCAAATATGGTAGCTTAATAGCTACCAATAGCCTGTGGAATATCTCTGTGAAGATAGATGCACATTTCTCTTTTAAGACATTTAAGTACAGAAATGAGAAGATTTCTGAAAGAAAGAATCAATAAAACAATTTCATGAAAGTGATGATGTTCATACATATGGTTTGATTAGATATTGTCACTTCTTACATTAATCTATTTTAATTAATGTTCTAAAACAAGAAGTCTATGAATGATTGAATAAAAATGCACTACCATTTGTAAACTTACACTCAAAACAAAAAGGATTTTTTAAATAAATAAGTGGGATAAAAAGCAAAGATGAATGGTGTTAAAAATTCTGATCTGCACTACCTCAGCATCTGTGTAAGCAGGAACCAGTGTCATTATCACAACAGAAAAATGACTTCCAATTTATAGCCAATCCTCAGATTCTATAAATGACATTTAAATTCTGCCTCTTCAACTGGGAAATAAATGTATTTTGTTTTAAAAGTTTAGTGAGTACATGGGAAAAGCATTAATGAGAAAAGCAACATTCTAAAAAAATAACTTGAGAAAAAAATCAGTCATTTTCTGCAACATTTTGTGTAACTTTCAAAATTATTTGAGCCATATTGTTCATTCTTAGTCTTTAAGAGGGAGAGAAAAACAGAATAGAAATTCTTTAAAAAAGAGATGAAAGATAGAAAACAGAGACCAAAATATACAACAAGGGCTATGATCATTGTGCCATTGGTACGTATACCAGAGTTATTTGAGGCAGTGTGGCAGTCTTCCTTAGACCTGCTCCTCAATTTACGCTGCACTCATGAGCTTCTCCTCTTTTTGAACTGTAAATAATCTTAACTAAATTTGACATGCCAAAGAATTTTAAAACCTTTTCCAAGTAAAGGTGAGAAAAAGATTCTGATAACTTTATTTTTTTTCTCTCCTTTTTTCACTACTAAAAGCTCTGCCTGTTTAGCTTATGTAATTAAGAAGATGGTAGGTTACCTTTATGGCTCTCCCATTTCCAAAGAGTATGAATCTAGTCCATCTCTCATTTTGTTCATTAAGAAATCTAAGTCCAGAGAAGGCAGGCAACATGGTAAAGGAAAGTTTGTTCCAGAAAGACTCAAGATTAAGATCTTCTGATTTTCTGTCCTTTATTTCCTTTAAAACTGTACTGTATGTAGGCATCTTAAACTGTAGAAAGGCTTCAACTTATGAGGAAGAAACTCACCCAGATCGAAAGATGGCTAACAGGGATATAAGGAAGAAATAGCTCTTTTCTCCAAGTTGTGGATTTAGGGAAACTATTAAAGGTTCAATTTGTGTCATCATTCACCTTTTGGTGTTGCCTTTCTGGTTGTTTATAGAGTTCAAGATAATCTCAGGACAATGTTATATTGATCTAGTCCGTAGAGAAATCTTTATGCCTTTGAGACTGGATAAGTTTGCAGAAGATCTCTGCCTCATACAAACAGCCAGAAAGCATGCAATTATATACTGGATATTATCTTTTTTAAAGTATTAATTTATTTTGATTGAGATTTTAATGAAAGTTTATAGAGAACTTGGATTTCCATTAATTCATTGTTGTACATTTTCCTCCCTGCCCACCTCCTGCCCCAGTTCACTTTTCTCTTTAAAGGAAAAAAAATCTTTCATTGTTGTACAATTTCCTCCCCGCTCCCAGTCCATTTTACTAAGCAGCTCTTATTCTGGACAGTTGTTATGCAAATAATACCTAATCATATATTCCACTTA